GAAAAACCCCCAAAGAACCAGAGCTTTGCACTTAAAAGAGATCCGTGGAGAGAGGGGTGGGTTATCTCAGGAGGTAGAGGTGAAGAACTATGATACACTAAGTTCTGGAGCAGAAACCGGGCCTGGAATCTTGGTGAGTGGAAGGGGTGCCAGCTGGATGGATCCTGCAGAGTCTGGGCATCTGGTTGGACGTGGATGTCCAGTGAGGATTCCCTTACCTATTGCCTGGTCCCTTATGGTGCACCTCTTGGGGCTCCTCTTGTTTCCTTTTAACTATAAGACTATCATCTTTTAAAATATTTACATAAATATTTTAAATAAAAGTGTTGCAAATAATAAAGACACACAAACATGTAAATATAATTATTAGTAATTTAATTTATAAGTTATTTAATATATAAGATCTATGATATATTCTTGTATACTATATGAATTATAATATGCTACATATGTTAAAAATATATATACACATTATTAGAGAAATACATGAAAATAATACATACACATACGTAATTTGTATATATGATACATGATATATGATAGACTATCACTTTTTTAAAATACTTACAGTATTTTATTATTTCCATATTTATTTTTATATCATTTTTTTATAATACAGTATTTTATTATTTCCATATTTATTTTTTAAAATAAAATTTCAAAAAGTATACATTAGAGTATCCCCTAACCATAAATGGCCCAATTGAGAGCTTTATGAAGAGCATACAGAGATACTTGAAGAGAGTTCCAGTACAAAGTAATCACTATGATCCTTGGAGGCGGAGATGTCTGGCTCCTCTGCACAGCCATACTCTTGAATTCCCATGGATGCCTCAGCCAGTCAATGTCTGTCATTAGCCTTAGTGATTCCCTGTCCCCTTTAGTATTCAGAAAACCCTGGTTCACAGCCAGAAAACATGAATGAAGCCCCTTCTCTCGAGCTTGTTCTTTTCTGTCATTGCTCACACAAGTGTTTTGGTCCAGACTATGGCATTTTTCCAGGAAAAGTGTTTTAATCTGAGGTCCATTGTGAGAGACACTATCTTCCCCACAATCTCATGAAATCTCTCAGACAATGACATCCTATAACATTCCACAGCATCCACCTCAGGACTAGGCCATGGCTCAGGCTGACAAATAGCTATTTCCCACACCACTGACCAGCTGGAAATGCCCAGGTCCAGGGGACTCAGGAAATTAACCGGTGGGGTGCACCCTGTGAGAGTTGCTACAGAGAGTGATCCATGGGGCAGGCTCTGCATCATAGCCCTCCAACAACTCGATCCTTCTTTCTCTGTGGTGGAGCCTGTCAAACCTGCATGTGGCTGGGCCCCATTGTCAGCTCAGCAGCTTCTGGCCATGTGATCCCTCCTGACAAGGATATGTTGGTAGAGTTGGTACTTGTGGAGAGATGACCTCCTTGTCACAATCCTTCCTAACTGGTTTCTAGCTATGTCAAGAATTGTCTGATGTTGTGCAGCTTTCAGGGTCTTAATATGACAGATGGAGGACAAAGCCCAGCATTGAGGGTGTAGTAGAAGAAGAGCTTGGGTCCTTGAAATTCTCACTGAGCCACTTAGCAACCTGGCAAAAGTTTGCATTTGTCCTGAAGGATGAAAAACAAACAAACCACCAATCCTCCCTTAAACCTTTCAATTGAAGTGAACTTTGTTGGGTATGGTATTATGCAGTCACTTTCAGCTTAGAGCCTCCCAACTCATGTAAGACCATTACTTCTGTGTGATCAAGCTTTCCTAAGTGATTCATGTATCTTAACACACTGACTCTACAGAATAATCCCATAATTCAATACTTTGATGAATATCTAATTTTACAAACATTGAAATTAGGAATAGGATGGTTAATAGACTGTTCATAGTCATGTAGAGAGGAAGCAGGAAATAAAGGATCCAAACTAAACAACTTGGTCAAAGGTTCCTGTCTCAACCAGATCACATATGAATAGACCCAGAGGGTCTAATTGTACCCTACAGCCTGGATTGCACAGGGTTCTTGAGGTCCACATATGGGAGGGTTCAGGGAGACAGAGGACTCTGGGAAAAACAGGAAAAGCATAGTGTCTGCATCATGCATCCCAATGTCATGCTTCCCATGAGTGTGACATCTGGGACTAAAGTTACTGTGGCTATGCCTGATGTGACTGTGCTCAGGGGGACACGGTTCCCTCAGCCTGAGCAGACTTGATTGCTATTCCTACCTGGCTTATCTGGAGACTCGAATTCTGAAGTGCTTTTGTAAATTCTAGCAGGTAGAGGCAGCTCTGGGACCCTCTGACATTCCCTAAGACCCACTGGGCTGTTCCTCTGCATGGGTCCCCGAGCAGACTCTAAAAGTCTAAACTCATCTTAGAACAGATTGATTTTAGTTTCTTGTAGACTACATCAGTACTTTGGCAGAACACAGAGATTTAAGCAAACTGTTATATCTAGAATTATGTACAAATATCTGACATTGATGTCTATTTGTAGCCGTCCAGCCCAGTACTATCTTTTCATGGCTTGCACCAGTGTCCATTCCCAGTGACACAAGAGACTTTCAGTGATAATAAATGTGTGGTTGAATTTTTAGTAATAATTAGGTGAATGAACTAGGTCTATTCAATAAACAGATTTTTCTTGCAAAGAAAAGATATAATGTTAGGTGCGTGAACTAGGTCTATTCAATAAAAATTCCATATTTTGGAAAAGACAACAGATTTTTCTTGCAAAGAAAAGATATAATGACTCTGGAAAGTTAAAGGCAATGATTAGTGCCTTGGCTAACATGTGGGGAAATTCTTTGAGAGTGAATTGACTCAAAACTAAGGCATAATTAAAAGAAGCAGACAGAGAGGTCAGCAACATTATTTGATTTTTCATTTCAACTTGATCAAAGTCTGCATTTTTCACTGAAATTCCTAGAATTTGGCATCAGTATTCATTTCAGGAGATGGAAGTAAAATTCTGGTGCTTACATCCCCAAAAGTTCTGTGTATGGCATTCTCAAGCATCAAAGAAGAGCAAACACAGAGCTCTTGCTACAAGGAATTTATTTGTGAAGGAGGAAAGATATTGTTGATGAGGTACAGGAGTAAAATCAGTTTCCTTCTAGGTCACAAAATAAATTTGAACTCATTTTACTCTGTTCTTGATGTACGGCGGCAGCAGAGGTTGAAGGAGACGTTACTGATGGTGCATTTCCCTTTGAGAATTTCAGGAAAGTTACACTTGCCGTTTTTGCAAGAGCAGTTGTAGGTACTTCTTTTACCTGGGACATAGGGAGAGCATCAGTCATTGAGTACTGGGGTCAGAGTTAGGTGGGAAAGAGAATCCAAGAGAAGTTGTGTTGATTGGAGTGGGTTTATTATGTTGTCACCAGCATAATAAATCCCGATCATTATGGATAGATAGATAGATACAGATATGCGGCCAGTGATCACCATACACAAGGAGTCTCTTTGTCCTTTATCTACCCTTTTCCTGTGCTCCTGCTCCAATCACACGTACATCTCAACACATGTTTAGACCCATCCATATTCTAAAAGCTCTTCAATAGAGTAAAATATTTTCCACAGACCTAAAGCTACCATTTTATATCCAGAAACAAAGGCATGTCACTTCTTATCTAAAACCTAGTGAATTTCACCAACACATCATAAAATCAGACGTCTTGGCTAAAGAGAATCTCCTAGAATATTTAACTCCCTCTGTTCAATTTATAGATGATAAAATAAAAATCCAGACATGTTTAATGAAGTAACCTATATGATATAGGCAGTTGTAGACCTGAAACTGTCTCCTGTCCTTCTCTAAACTCTGTAACTCTGCCATGTTGGTGACTCTCACCTGCAGCTCTAAGAGCAGAACCCTCGTCTCCTGTGAAGTCAACAGGCACATCTTGGTCCTCTGCCCCGAACTGTTCCTGGTCCAGAGCCTCCTCAGTTCTTGCTGGAAGTGGGTCAGCCTGGGCCTGGATGGCCACTAGGAAAATGGCAGCAAGAAAGACAAGGGCCTTCATGACTGGATGTCACCCGGAGGATGGGAGAGCAGGATCCTGAGTATGTGACAATTGAGAAGTCAGCCCGTATTTATAGGTCTGCTGAAGACGACGGATGCAGTTAGAAAAGGTATGGGGAGGGTGAGGGTTGCCTTTCTCTTTGGGTTCCTTTGATGCCCTCTGTTCTCACAGCTTTCATCTCCTCATGAGCTTGTAGGTTTAGTGTATGTACTCGGTTCACATTGATAGTGGTGATGATAGTGGTAATGCTGTTTTCCTGTTTCCCATCTGCTTCAAAATTTACTTTTTTTTTTTAAGAGAAATTTTGCCAAAGGGGATGTGCGATTGCTAGAGAAACAATGAGACAGAAACCGAAAATTCTTCCCCCAGGGCGATGGCTATGCCACAATCCTCCTCTTCCATTCTCCTCTCTGGATCTTGGACATGCATGCCACGCATTGGGAATCAAACCACAGTTGACTACATGGTAGTCCAGAGACATAACTATTTAGCTATCTGCTGGCCTCGAAAATATAATTTTTAATATTGAAAAAAGATAAAGAACAGTGCTTTTGTTCAGTAAATTCAAATATCTCTAATTTTTCAGAAAATGGGCCCTACTCTTTCTGGAGGTCTGTATCTCGAAGTTAGGCTTGGATACCAATGGAGTAAAGAGCTAATTTATTGTAGAATAAATAAAAACTTTATCGTTATGAAGGTTGTTCTGATATTATGAAGTGAGTGATACTGCTGGGTATTGTGTGTAGAAGTAAAAAACCTCGATAGGTGTTATGCAAAATGAGCTCAGTAGCATATTACATAAACAGTTGGTCTCAAATTTAAAGAATGTGTACATATTCTGCCTTCATTTAGGTATGTTTGATGATTATAAATTGTACAGATCTAAAGTGTAGAGCATGATGGTTTGGTACAGGTTTACCTTTGGTACCTTATTTCATACCACATACAAACATCAGCTCTAAATGAACTGAAGACCTAAATCTAAGACTTGAAGCATATAGCTACTAAAAGAAGCCATAAGGGTAAACTTTCTGACTGTGACTCAGTGATTTTCTGGATATGCTACCAAAGGCAATGAGTATAAAAACACAAATAAACAAGTGGGAGCACAATAAACTAATAAGATTTTTCACAACAAAGGAAACAATAAACTAGGTAAAAGGCAACCTAGGAAATGAGAGGAAACATAATGCATAGATGTGATAAGGGGTTAAATACAAATATATAAGGACTTCAAACATCTCAATAGCAAAGAAAAAAGAAAGAAAAACCTGATTAAAAAATGGACAAGACTAAATAAACATTTCTCTAAAGAAAAGATTGTTTTCAGAAGTGATGATGTTACCTAATGGAGATGAAAAATTGATACTGTCATTTACAGTTTTCTATCTTTAAATTTATCAGGATGTTTGACATAGCCTCAACTCACCTTTGAGTTATTATTTTTAATTTAAAAAATGTCGAATGCATTCACACAACACAAAATTCTTGAATGAAGTATTTTTCTCAGACCCCCATTTCCTGTGTTTCTATTCTCCTTTTTAGAATCCCCCATATAAATATTTATATGTTATTCTACATTTTATTCTTTCTAATTAATTTTGTATCTTAGGGCTTTCATTACACCAACAATATAAGCCTGGGCAGCATCCATATGTGGCTAGCTTTGTAGGCTCATGAATATAAGAACTGTGGTGATATGGCTTTTTCCACATGCATTTCAAAAAAATGTCCAGGATATCCTAGGTGTATCTGCACAGGCTAGGTATACTGAAGTAAAACCACTGCAGAGAGTCTGCTCAGGTTGTAACTATCACACAGGGTTCTTATTAGAACAAAGCCTAGTGCATGGTGGTACTGTGAGAGCTAGGCGGCCATATTTATTAAGTTCGGGGAATAACTACAAGTTGATTTTTTTATGTAATGTGTTAAGGGTCCAAATATGTATTCCAGTCATCAAATTGTACACTTAAGATAAATAATTGTCATTTGTCAAACATAATTGGTAATTAATTGTAGATTACACCTCAATGAAGGTAGAAAAATAAATAAAATTAACAAACCCCAGAACTGTAGAGTTATCAACCTGCAATGCCAGCCTGGGAGAGTTATACACACAAGACTCCAGCTCAAGAGAGAAGAAGTAAGAACCAAACCTGCCTAGCCACTGGGGCAAGACCTCTGTACCAGTGTGCTCAGAATGTCAGATATGGGTCAAAGGAGATTATTCTCCAACAATAATACTTAAGACAGCTTTCTTTTTGGATGTTGGGCTTACTTGGCATCAGTGGCCTCTCATTTCTTGTCTATTTCCTACTTTTTGGAACTATCCTATGTCTTTTCTATCATTTTTATTTAGGAAGTAAATAATTTCTTCTTATTTCACAGGCTACAAGTCAGAAAAAAAATTTTCTTCAGAAAAAAATCATACCTTAGCATGCAAACATACCTGACTTCAGTGTGACTCTAAACTGTGGACTTGAATTTGAGTTAAGACTTGAGGTTATAATGGCATACATATATTTTGAATGTTAGAAGGAAATGAAATTTCAGATCAATGGTGAGATATCCAACCCCACATTTACAGTGATGAAGTAAAGAGCTGTATCGAAGATGCTGGATCCCACATGGACACCCAATAATTGGATCTCTTCCCTATTAAATTGAAAATCATAATAGCACAGGTATGACTATGCTCAGGACCCTACAGGATAGAGAATTGGAAGAGAGAGAATTGTAGCATGACCAGACCCCATTGGAGGTTGCTTTCTCTCTCTCACTCATTTTCCCTTTGTCTCTCAGGCTGGTGTATGGCATTAAGGACAAAAGGACTCAAGGTGAAATTTAATTGTTATTGTGATGGTGATGAGGTAGAATCTTTGATCTGTTGGTTTTTAAAAAATATTTATTTAATTATTATTATTATTATTTAAAAATATTTATTTAATTATTACTATTATTATTATTAACTTTGACCAAAGAGAGACGAGAGAGAGAGAGAATGGAAAAGTTAGAATGGAAGCTGCCATTTATGAGACTTAAACTGTTAATGGCCATGTGGGAGCACAGTATTTTAACCACAGTGCCACCTCCCCATCCTGGGAGGTAGGATCTTTCAGAGGTGATTAGTTCATGGGAGCTGAGCCTTCTAGAATGAATTAACGTGATTACTTGGACCACAGTTAGCGTAATGGCTATGTCGCTGGACTCCCATGTAGTCGACCGCGGTTTGGGTCCCGGACCTGGCGGCTTAAACTCACGCTGGACACGTGTGCGTGCGTGCGTGCCCAAGATCCCGAGAGGATAATGGAGGAGAAGGGATTGCGGTATGGCCATCCCCCCTGGTGGGTGATTTCTCACTATCATGAAAATGAATTAGTTGCTATGGGATTGGAATACTGATAAAGTTCAACTTGAATGTCATTCTCTGTTTCATGTGCTCATTTGCCCTTCTGCCTTCTGATGTAAGATAGCACTGCGCATGGGCCATTGGCAGATATTCACACACCCTCTTGGATATCCCCATATCCAGTTTCATGGGCCAAATAAATTTCTATTGTTCATAAGTTACTCAATTCGTGGCACTTTATTACAGAGGACAGAATGGAATGAATTCAATTGCTGAGATCCATGTAGAGTGAAATAATTCTGGAATCCATGGGTACTTCTGAAAAAGTATGCATAGTAATATTTTTTAACTGTTGACTTATCTTAGTATACTATGCATTTGGATTTTATTGTCTCATTGTGAGATGGCCTTTTAACCCTAATTCTGGATTCTAATTGAACCCTCTCTGTGCAAATATTTACTTGTTCATTGTGAATTTTAGATGTCTATGTCACTTGCTACCCGTGGTCATGGAAAACATAATAATTACACTATCACCTAGAAATTTTAACCTACAGAAATTGCTCAAAAACCTGGATCTCTTAAAGAGGGCATATACTTTCATGAATGAAAGGTTTGGTTTACTAGCCTTCATCTAAGAAAGATTCTGAGAATGTATTGTCTACCTTTGGAAACTAAGAAGGATTTTAATCCTACTTTAAACAGAATAGAAGATAACGTAGACTAATCCACATGGATGTTCATGAATATTTAGACAGATGGGGAACAGGGAAGATTATCAGGACCATATGACTTATGAAATCATCTAGGCACCTGGCATATAGATGAACACCTGGCGTAAGTGTAACACCAGATTAGTGGTACATCAAAGGGCTTTGGGAGCAGTAAGAGAACTTCATATGATTTCATTCTCTCCTCTCACTTACCTTACAGTCACCACAGTCATGTGTACGCAAATACTGAAGTCCAACTCTAGCCTGAAAGGTTCTCAGTTCATGCTTTTTAAAAATTTTTGCCAGAGGTTGCATAGCTAAATTAATCAGAGAGACAGTGAGAGAGAAAGATGGAAAGGAGAAAACACCCCAATGGGGAACGGTCACACTACAATCCCTTCTCCTCCATTTCTCCCTCCTTTGGAGATTTTTAGGCACACATGCACGTATACCCAATGTGTTTCTTTTTTTCTTTTTGAACATGTATTTATTTATTTATCTATTTATTTGTTGTACTTTTCAAGCTGTCAGGTCCAGGACTCGAACTCCAGTTGGCCAGCACCTTCACCACCATACCACCTGTTGGCCCAAGTTGCAGACTTCTTCTTTTTTTTTTTTTAATTTATATTACCATCATAATCTTCTTTATATTACATTGGATTACATATAACTTTACATTGACTTCCTTTGCTTTTTCAAAAGGGAATGCCATGCATGTCAGTCAATACAGAGACATCAATCTCCCCGCTTTATCATTCAATGTCTTTTCCATGCATTTCCCAATAATTATTATTATTATAATTTTTTAAAACAGTCAATCACTATTTCTCATTTTGCTTGTTAAAAGACTTCACCCATCATGAAATACTTCCCAGACCAGTCCAGTTGAGAATACTATACACGTCATCATCAACAGATAATAAACCATATCTGTTTCTCACTAACATCCTCTCTATTGTTCACTTGCTATCTTTCTCTATCCTCTTCTCTCTCTTTTTTTTATAGTTTTCTTTTTATTA